ATAAACAATGAAAATTAAAATACTACATTACACATTTTATACTACAAACTTCATCTCAAGAAAATATTGGAGTATTTTTTGTATTATATAAAAATTGATGATATCTTTCAGAGATGATTTTTAGTCCAAATTTTTATTTCAATATTATTTAATGGCCTGTTACTTTGTTTTACTGTTTATAAATTCATTATCAACTGTAAAACAAAAACTTGTTGAATTTTCATTTTTTAGCAATGTGAAGTAATGTTACAAGATGTTTAATAAACATTAAATGATTTCAGCATTTTTCACAAATTGCCAAGTTATAGTTCGTGAAGTTAAAAAATAAGCACCAAACAACTTTGTTATTTTGTATATCATAATATCTATATATAACCAAAAATTGCAATGTATCTGGCAAACTTTTAATAAATATATATCAAAATAAAAATCCTAAATAGTTATTTTAAAATATGAATTAGCTTGTTCATAGAAAATCTGCAATTGATTGACTGTATTGCACAAGACTGAAGATGTCAGTTCTCAGAACTTTTTTGAGATAATCAACAGCAAATATAATGAACCCCAGATCTTAAGATGTTACATTAATCACATATAAAATTGAGCCTATAACATAATCCAACTTTGAATACAGTATATATATATATACACTGTACATTTTACCAACACAGAAAGTAGACAGTACATATCTATTCTCAATAAGAACCTTACATGTTCCAAACGTATCACATCTGACAAGTATGCAACCTCAGAACTACACATATACATTCATAATAGGGTGTTTGAAGAATTTACAAACTTTTAACACCTGGCTTTATGGCTCTGAGAGTAGAAACAAAAATGTACAATATACAACTGGATATTTCTTCAATATGCTGGTGCTTTACATCACAACATTAACATAGTTACTAAGATATTTAAAGGAAAGTTTGGCACTGCTTGCATGAAAGCAGCAATATTTTTAACAGTATGGATACATGGCTTGTTAAGTTTAAAAACAACAGCTCTTTTCAGTATCAGATATAACATTTAATAACTTACTAGTACTGAGATTTGCAAACTTAGATCATTTCTGATATCAGGAAATAACAGACACAATTCTGTTTTGTATTCTAAATGAAATGTTTTGTACTACAATAAATTAATCACAGTGGTATACAAAAAATCATGTGCTTTTTCTAAGCACCATACATTATACAAAGGTGGAAGTAAAATTTCATTTTTTGTTTTTTAAATATAAAAACATCAACTCTTTTATATATACATACAGGTAATAAAGGTAATGATAAAGATAGAAATAAAAAAATATTACTACATATGAATCTGAACACACCTCAAAACTAAATAAACATTTTTCATAAAGTATGAAAGATAAAACAAATTACCAACATATAACTAATGCTCTCAATAAGAATTAAACTAATCCACTATTAAATACACAACAATACAAATAATTTAATCAAGCCATAGAAAATCCTATATTATCAAGCAAACTGACAGCAATTTGGTTTTGATGCCCAGCAGCAGAGGCAAATGATATAAAAAGGATATCTTAATAATATAAACACATTTCACACTACTATTCACAGCAGTGATATTGATGTTTCTAATACATAAATGCCCACTGTTTGGAAGCAATCACTTTAGTCTACCACCATATATAATGGCTAGTTAATCATGATTACTTTAACGAGAACTTATTTGTATGCACACAAACACACAGATATAACAAAAAACAATAAAGCTTTGTTACTGGAAAATGTAAGCAAATAAACTATTCAAAAACTTTAGCCTATTGAAAAACTCTTTCTACATACTACAGTAAAAGCTTTATTTCCCAACACCTGCCAAACTTGGGTAGTGCTGGATAGGCACAAATTCTAGTTGCAAAAGCATTTCCTTTACAATATTTTAGGCCAGGCTTAAAAATATTTCTGTTTGCTGTAACCTAACAGACCTTTTGAAATTGGGGTTGACTGAGAGATTTTTTTTGGCATTATGACCTAGGAAATTTTTATTTTCCCCAATATCTGCCGATATACTGGCCAATTTAATTGGTCTCAACAAATGCTTAAATTAAAAAACAAGTTATGTTTCTGGAAGGAATATTTGATTTCGTTATTAGGTAAAGTACAATTAGTAAAACAGGTAGTAAAGCCACTTTTAACTTTTCTGTGGAAGTGTTTCTCTCCCAAAAAAGTGACATTAAAACTATTAACACCTGTGTTTATCCATTTATATGGAATGATAAACCTGAACTTGTACAACATGAAACAGTTAAAAGATCTGTTGCACAGGAGGGATCTAGGACTTTTGGATATTAGCAGATCCAAGGGACTAAGAAACAACAAGAATGGTCCCGTTATGATAATAATAATGAAGTCTTTATTACTGTGCACCCTTGTTCTGGTATTGAGAATGATAGTAGTTGACACTGTTGCACATGCTCATACTACGATAATAACAATTGTACTGGTATTTACATTGTAAGTTCACCAAATTGCCTTGTTCATATATTCACAGCAATATGCCAAGCCAAAAGAAACTTACTTTCAATACCAAACCCAGGACTAGCAAATCAATCACAGATTTTTTCAGGTATATTTATGGTATGTTTGAGTAGTCTATCTGTGGTATAGATCTCTAGATCTAAATTCTACAGATTTAGGCCTAAAAATCATATGATACATTTAGACTTAGTTATAGATATGCATAATATTAATGGTGCTATAGGTCTATATCTATGTAGATTTTAGTGTGAAATTATAATTTAACTTCATAGAATAGATATTATTATTCTAATATTAGATTCTATGGTTAGTCAATTTTCAAATATAAATAATGTGTAAGTATTTTTATTGAATTGCTCACTTTTAGATATTTAATATGTATATAAAAATCACATAATTAGATGCTAAGTATTTTCTGGTTGTATTACTTAATCTATTAATACATTTCAGCTTAGCATCTCATAGATCTAAGCTATATTATCAATACAAACCATATCAGGTGTACTTGCCTTGCTATTGACAGGGCCACTCCTGAAACTGTAACAGAACAATGCTATTATCATAATTGTGGTCACAATCAGACAAATCTGAACAATAATGACAATGATGATGGAAATCCAAATAAGCTCGCAACACAAACAAATGTTGACATACAGCAATGCCCACTGGTAAAACTGGAGAAAAATCAATTCCTCTTGATATTGGAACATTTTTGACTCTGGCAGGGGACCTCACTTTAGTAACAGGTGACGAGAAGTATCAGATTTTAATAAACCACGTGACACCAAATGGCAGTTCTAAGCTTCCAGTTGAATGGTAACATGGATGAAATTGTACATTTCAAAAATCATATACTGTCAAAATACCCGGAACTTGTCTATTTGGCAAGAAAGAAAGGTGGTTTTTGTATATACTGCATCTTCTTCAGATGCCATGAATTTGCTGGTATCCTTGTTAAAATGCCATGTAAGGATAACTATCACAAAGTGTCTACTGTACTTGGTAAAATAATCAGTACCATGTACATGGAAGTGCAGCTGGAATTGCATTCCAAAATGTGATGACCAGAGCACAGCATCTTGTAAACACACAAGTTAACCAAATAATTCATCAAAGGGTTCAGGCTAACAGGGAGAAATTAAGATCAATAATCCAAACTGTTATATTCTGTGGTTAGCAGAACTTAGTATTACATGGACATCACGATGATAAAAAAAGACTTGGAGGATGCTACTCATAATCCTGGTAATTTTCAAGCATTGCTCCAATTCTGAATATATGCAGAAGATGATGTATTGAAAAACTATTTTGCTACTGCTAACAGACATGCTATGTACCATTTAATTCAATTTATGGAAATTACATTTGCGATGAAATATTGTCAAAAGCAAGAAATGCCAATTTTTATTCAATATCAGCAGAGGAAGCTACAAATAGTTCTGACCATGAGCAACTTAGACTGATGTTGAGATTCTGTGATAAAAATGATGACATTAGATGAGAATTTGTGGAGTTTGTTTTATGTCTATCTACAACTGGTGAAGCATTAGCTACCACCATAATTCAAAAGATATCAAACAACTGGCAACTTCCATTGGCACAATTTCATGGTCAAACATATGATAGGGCAGGAAATACGTGTGGCCTTCAGCACAAAACAGTGACTCGAATTCAACAAGAATACCATAAAGCTGTTTTCACACACTGTCCAAGTCAGAAACTTAATCTTTCATTAGTGAAAGCATTGAGAATCCTCGATGTGCATAATGTTATAGATACTATGGACAAAGTTGTTAAATTCTCTTAAACATCAACTGAATGTTGATACAGAAGACTGTATTGATCAAGTGTACAACAGACATGCAATTAAGATGAAACAGCTGAAAGAACTTTGTCACACAAGATGGGTGACATGGCACAACATATTCTGTTCATGTTTACATTTACTTGAGGCAATAGTAAGCTTATTGCAAGACATCTCTACTCATCCACAGGAATGGAACAGACAAAGTGTCACAGATGCAATGTGGATCTTGCAGCTGCGACTCGATTCCAGTTTATTGCAGCACTCATGACAATATGGGAAGTTCTTGCATACATTCAACCATTCATCTTGAGCCTTCAGTCTCGGACATTAAATGTTATTAAAGCAGTCAACCAAGTGAAAGAGGTAATTACTAAATTAGAGGACAACAGAACAAACATAGATACTTTCCATCATAATCTATACAAGAAAATAATCAGGAAAGTAGATTCAGTCAGAATTCAGCCAGCTTCACCTCGAGTAGTAGGACGACAAGTTCATCATTCAAATGCACCAGCTGTCACTCGTGAAAAATACTATAAAATCAATATTACTATACCTTTGCTTAACTAGCTTCTTGTTGTGTTGAAAAACTACTTTCAAAAACTACAGGATGTCATCGCTAATACTTTTCACTTAATCCCACTTGTAATCCAACATGCTACAGAAAAGCAGGTTCTACATAAAGTTACACAGTTTGCAACCAAATACAAAGATGACTTACCTAGTTCCTAAAACATTACAGCAGAAATGCACTACTGGGTCTGTCACTGAAGAAATTCTAACCTCAAGACACATCAGCAGATGCTAGATCATCACTGAAAAAGGTGGATAAGACATTTTTTCCAAATATTCACACTAGGCTGAAATTATTGTGCACATTCGGCATGCCTTCCTGTTAATGTGAGAGCAGCACAAGTGCTATGAGAAGACTTAAAACTTATAAGAGAAGTCTAATGGTCGAGGACCTCGTGAATGGGTTATCACTGTTACATATCCATTATGGATATAAAATAAATACAGAAAAAATTCATAGAGATTTTTGCACATTCAAATCCAAGACAACTGGCTTTAACAAATATATTAGCAGACTAATATGGTGAATAACTGCTACTTATATACATTTTATCATACAAACAATGAAGTAATATCCTGTTTGTATTACGTGTTTTGTGAAAATATTTAATTTGAATTGTTTCAATGATTTAGTTACATAAGTTCTGTCTCACATAAAACAACTTCAATATACAATGGGTAAAGCTGTGCTTTATGTGGTAAATGCATAATATGTTCCCAAAATATATCTATCAGAACTTTGCTCAGGACCCAAATTGCATACCAAATTGGATCCGCCATTGTTTGGACTTGAATATTTTTATAGTGTCCCTCATAATTCAGTGCTTCAAAACTACTTTGCAGTTGGATCATACTTTCTTTGATACAATTTGGGTTTAAAAGTGAAATATTTCTCTGATTAAAAAACATACAAAATTCTTCATCTATGAACCATCGTTATATTGAAAACATGGTAACAGTTATTGAAAATCCATTGCAACAATTGACTGTACAACTATTGGGTAAGAAAACAGCTGAAATTTATGAACAATCATGACCTATACACACGCCCAAAGAACAAATATTGTATCAAGGTGTAAGGTGGAATATTGCTTGGGGCAATACCAACAACAGATGTGGTTTGAATTGGAAAATTGCCCATCAGGTAGTATCAGTGGGATATCATTAAAACAAATTTGGGCTAAGTTTTTCAAGTACTTGCCGGTTCTGTTTGAATTTCAAAACAGTGCCTCATGTGCTTTCTGAATGTTATTGTGCGCGAAAACTGCAGGGTTTTACACAGGGCATATTTTCTGTACCAGTTATCATGGTTATCACAGTGTTGTTTAATGCCTCCTTACCTAATCATTCCAAATTCCATTAGTAAAATTAAGTATTCCTTATGGATATCAAGGTGTAAAGGAGTGTATGATATTAACTTTGAACTTGTTGAGAAATAAGTGAAAATGGTGCTCGATTTGGTCAGTTTACATGACTATCCACGCATGAGTATGAAAAACGTTTGTGCCCTAACCTGTCACTACTTTTTTGCATATATGTTAGCATATTGGACATTATTTTTTGATTAGTGAGAAGTTAAATATTTTCTGCATATGTTTTGTTAGTTCATTTATTTGTCACTTTGTTTATAATTTTCAGTGTTCATTTAATTTGTTCTTAATAAATTTAATGTTTACATATGAAGCACAATCTACCCTCTCCTCACCATATTCGTGTGTCTATACTTTATGAGTTAAACTTTTTCATATTAAGGTTTTCTTTCCAGTTGTTATATTTATGTTTGCTTCTGCCAAACAACATCCTTGGCACTTTTAAGGGACATAAGAGATGTTTTTTTATCCTTTTCTCATTTTCCTTATTTAGTAATAATAATGTGAAAACAGTAAACATTTGTGGTTAAGCTTAATTTTAGTGAAGTAAATGTGCAACTCTGTAGTTACATAGCTCTATTACTTCCCTCTTTTGCACCACAAAAACAGGATTGAGAATTATGATCAAAAACAAATTAATTCCAATTGGAAAATTATCCATATTGAGGGAAGTACTCATATATTTACTTGGCGGATGAGATAAAACCAAAGAACAAACCATAAAATTGTAGGCAATAGTCAATTCAACTTCACCAATCAAAGTTGATATTGACCAGCAATTGTGTGTTGTGAAAGAATTTGATAAAAACTTGCGACATGCTGACATCCTTTTAACTACTTATACGTTGAAAGTGTCACATTCATTTTCCACGATTCAATGTATTCGTGGTTTAATGAGTTTTGTTTTAAGTGATCACAGAAACAGTGGTATTTCCAAAAATTTTTTCTGCCAAGCAATTTGAAAAAAAATAAATAAATTACCTACCTACCTACCAACATTTTAAATCAGTTTAGGGTTACAGCAAACAAATTATTTTTAAGCCTGGTCTTACAGAAAAAATGTTGATACCTTGTTAATGTTCTAAAGCACAGTATTTCTACCTCATCTTTAACAACAGTTTTAAAAAATAATAATTGTTATAATAAATCTTAAACTGTATAACAACATTTATAATTACAGTATTTTAAATAAAGTAATACAATATATTGTAATGTACTCACCAATTAAATGTCCTGGTGAAAGCTTGCCAGTTTAAGGGTCAGGTTTTGCAGCTTTGTAAATGACAAAAAACCTGAAACACTAAATAGCCACTTGCATATTAATATTAACTGAAGCTTGCCAGCAAGAAAAAACAAAGCCGCAACTGTACAACTGAGCAGCAGCATCAGTTAACTACAGTCATAAACTTTTGAGAAGCATCTAGAATATTCCGAGACATTCTGGATAAAACTGTAATGAATGCTAGTTTCTACCATAAACATTTATCTTTGAAAATATTTAAATTTCTGGTTACAAGAGCTTTCCAGATGCCAGATGACAAAGCTTTTACTGTACTATTAAATCGCAAGTACTTTTGCAATTTCTGAAAGAATATCATGTAAACATCAAAGTATGAAGTATATCAAGGTTCATCTAAGACTAAGATAAAAACAATGAAAGATTAACTAGAAACTGAAAAGGGTTATTTCACATTTCAAAATTGCTAATCCAGAAAAATAACTCACTGAAATATTTTGCACGCTAACTTGACATAAGTTTCAGAAACTTGCATTCTGATACACAGCATGTAATAGATAATGATATTTACCAAACTCAAATAAATAACTGTACAACTCAATTATGGTTGAACTGTTATAAAAACCATTGATCTTATATAATTTTTTAACAACAATTAAGCATTTAATAGAAACATCAGTGCAGCAATAGAACAGGTTTGATTCAAATAATATTTAAGAAGTCATCCATGCAGAAAAAACTGAAGTGATCAAGATATAATGAAGCTAAACATATATGTACAATTTTTATGCTGTTCAGAGTAACACTACAAAGTGTAATGATAAAACATACAAATGTATGTGCACAGTTCACAATAACCTACAGCAGTTAATACATACAAGAGGATGACTGACAGCGAGCTTGTCACTTTTCATGCCATTTAACAGCTTCACAGAATGTTCCTAGGTTGAAAATACAACTTTAGTCTTATAGGAAAGAAATAAAGCTTTTACATAACTATGGGGTTATCTATTATAATCAAGATATGGCTTTACCAGACAGTTTGTTCTGTATGACATACAAAAAAGGAAATTAACATAAAAAGTTCGATGGGATGAAAGAAATCAACAAAAGGTAATGAGAGTGCTCAAAAGAGTTTAGAAGCTTATTTATCAAATGCTTTTAATTAGTATTAGAGATTACACACAACAAACTATTTTGTCTTTCAAATACGTTATATCCACAGTTGTTTTAATTAGTATTAGAGATTACACACAACAAACTATTTTGTCTTTCAAATACGTTATATCCACAGTTGTGTTTATGTTAGTCACACCTTCCACTTGTATTAATATAACACATACAGAAAGCAACCAGAAACAGTCATCTCAGAACAACATAGGTTGAGGATAATCTTGCTTTAAGACAAATTCTAGCAGTGTTGGAAGTTTATCAATACTCAATCCTCCCTGCTTTATTTCCTGCAGTTTCTCTTCCAAGTCTCTCTTATCTTTACCAACTGCCCACCAGAGTCGTACAGACAAAATTAACAGAGGCACTGACATCTCACTGTTCTTGTACAACTCCATGTGACGAACAGCAATCTCAGCATATTTCTGAGCTTCTGTGACATTGTCAACAGCATTTAAACAGGCTACCAAGAAGCAGAGTGTGGAAAATACTGGCCAGCTACTTTCTCCTAGTAACTTTTCTTGAACAAAAAAGATATTTTCTAAAATAACTGATGCATCTTCAAAGTGGCCTGTTTTCATCAGTTTGTGAGCTTCTCGTAATTCACGATTGTATAAAAAATCAGCAAGTTCTGGTGTTTGTCGCAGCTCCTTTACCGAGAATGAGTAAGTCAGCAAATGGTGGAATGCAACACTTCTTTCTGCTATAACTTCAGCTGTGAAATTTCCAACTAAAGCCTTCTTAGGAAAAGGAAATTCTGTCAGAAGAGCAGGGTATCTAGTGCGTAGAGCTTGGAAAAGTAGCAGAAAGTCTGAATAGCGACGTTCCAAAACCCCTGGTTGACGTTCTAAGCCTGGAATCCTTTTTATTAGAATAGTGTAGCTCTAAAAATATAGGAAAAAATTATATCTAAGTAATATTTTTGGCATCTTTACACAAATATAAATATTGTACAAATAGCCTTCTGGTGTTAGTTCAGTAAATACCAGGAAGAATATTGTCAATACATTATGTAAATCTGAATGACATTATGAGCATAAACAGAGCTATTTCATAAAATGAAAATTAGAGGAAATCAACATAATCTTTTTAGATTATTAAAGTTATAATTAAACAAGAGGCAACTAAAAGATATTGAAGTTGTATAAACATTAAACTCTTTACTAACTTAATGCACAGAAAATATTCTGGAACTAAAGTTTGTCCTTGATATTTTTATAAAGATTGAAAGTTGAATTAAACTAAACTACTGCATACTACTCATTTAACCCTCTATTCTTGCACATTTTGATCATTGATAGAAGCACAATTATTTTAATTTACAAAAATATTATATCTATGTAAAAGTTCTGTGGTTTAGCTTATATCCCTTAGAATTTTACCACAATGTTAATTCTTTCTAAATATACTTAAGGGTCTTACAACATGTTTTCGCCTTCCTTGAAGAACAGTCTTTGCTGAAACAATTTCAAAGGTCACTCGCTGAGATCCTTTTTTTGGAGAAGAGCAAGTGTCTGATGATAATGGATTACTATTTCCAGAAGATTTCGACCACGTTTCTATGACCGGAAAAACAATGTTTAATTTTTTTAATCCAAACGTAATTATATAACTCATGTTCTACAGGTACATAAATCTGATGGAAGTACATTCAGTTATAAATAGCTGCAATCACATTTCTCATTTCATATGATTGTTTTCTTCTTTTTTTAAGACTGTTTAAGATATAAATTCTTTATCTCTTCATATTCAATCTCATGATATCTTTATAAAAATTAACATAGAGCTGAATAAATCAAAATATATCATTGTTAACAAGAATTACTCTTAGGTATTCAATAATGAGTGTTGGGAGAAAGAGAGTTTCCAGTGAGAAACTTCTCCAATCTTCCTGTTAAAAGTGGTATAAGAAATCCTTCATTTTTATGCTTATTAAACAAAGTGGTTATTAAAAAATAAACCCAATAAAAATATTTCACAAACATCTCAGTATTAAGAACAAAGTTCTAAGTGGCAGACCATGAAAACCAAACTAAATACAACACTCCATATGCATATACTCATCCATCAAACATTCAAAAAAATATAAACAGCACCACCACATGGAAACATCACCACACAATACAAAAGTTTATAATTCTCAACAAAGGAAAAAAGCATGGATTTAGACTTTCAAAGCTTGAACTTGTTACTCAGAAGTCCCAAATATTCAAGTATTTCCAACCTTTTCATTTCACTATTCAGATAACCCATGGAAAGGTTGTCCAAACCCCTACAAATTTTTAAACCTGAGTCAAGTCACTTCTAATTCTTAACTGCACCACAGAAAATCTATACTATAATGTGGTTTGTTTCTACATATCTATTTGGATGCCCATAAAGAAAATTTTCTAACTTTCTAAGCACTGGATTTGTCACCATGAAATGTTTAGGGTTTCTTGGATATGCTCAAAAGGAATTCTAAAACCCTTACTTCATTCATTTACCCATTTTTATTCGTAGACAGTCATTTTAATTTTTCCCTAGGCAAATGGCACATACACACACTGTTTCCATGAAGCCATTGAAATAAATTTTATGCTTGATATAATTAAGTTTCTTAAACAAAGCCATATGCTATCAGCATGTTGTTTAGGTTTAGAGTTGTCTGCCTCTGACTTGATCTCTGGTAGATCTGCTGATCACTCATGATACTCGTTTAAGCTAAGAATCTTTGGTTCAAATCTTAGTCAAGGAACTTTCTCAACATACTGATCAATTATATTTGTTCTCAACAAACAATCATATCTTCCCTTAGAGCAGGTGACTAATCAAACCATTTGTTTACCCATATGTGCCTAACTAAATATGTTTCATATGTGTATAAGCTACTTTAGTGATTCTGGTTTGTGTATTGCCAATTTGGATGCTAGGTTGTGTTGTGCTGGTACCTTAAGATTATGGTTTATGTTGGCTGGATGACAGGTCTTATATGAGTGGGGGTGAATATGTAATGATCAGGATGAATACTTGTCTGCCTAAGACTAGATGTGACAGCTGAGTTGGTAAGGGAAATGATCAGACACGCCAGAGTAAGCTCAGAGTCCTGATAAATCACACTGTTTATACTCTTTCCTGCATGATTATATCCTCCCTAAAGCAAATAAATCATAATTGCACACAGCAATAAAAATAATACCTTACTAGGCTAATAAAAGATTGCAATAATTTCCTTACTCTTTAATTTCAAACTTTAAAAATACATCCACAGCACTGAATGAGGTATCAAAAGAAAGATAATTTTCCTTTATTTGTTATCAAAATTCAAATTTCAAAAGTTTTGGGTCTCTTGATTGCAATACCAGTTTCAAACTACCATGTTATACACTTTGATCTCCCATTAAAATAATATAATTTTCTAAGAAGCTAATTTTTGAAAATAAAGAAAACAAAATGGATTCAACTATGGCAAAGGTACATTGCACCACATTTGTAACAAATTTTTACTACACCTTAAAGAATCAGTGAATTTTTTGTGGAAGAAAACTTCTTTAGTGTGGATTCATTTACTAGAAACATTTATTAGAAATACAAAAATCTTTCTTAGGAGAGGAGATTATGATGTATATTATAAAAGGGATTATGTCTAGAGACAGTTCTAACAGAAAGCAAACTACAAGTAAATAGGACAACTACAGATATTCTAGTAAGGAGGCTCTTTAAGTATCAAGCATTAATGATCTTTGGAAGAGCAACAAGGGGAGGAGTAAAATAGAAATCTTTAATGAAGAAGGCAAGAAATGGGGTAAATTAAATCTGGATACAGCATTCAAAAGTTGCTGATGAACTAAGGCATAGGTAGGATAGATTGAAATAAAATGTTTAATTGTTTCATATCAAGTCTTACAAAAGAAACAGTAAGAATAAGCCTGTCCAAACTTGTGAATGGTGCAAAGCAACAGGTTCCAAGGAGTAATCAGATTATGGTGCTTTCATTTCATTTCTAAGGGATAATAAGGGGCTTTTCATCTCATTCAATTTATTCCATTTTTTACAACTACCTTACTCCACATTATATTCAGAAACCTTTACCACCATATTAAGTCAACATTTTCCAAACTATTTTGGGGAATCCTTAAGAAATATTCTTACTATAAACTTAATTCATAAAAATTCATAAGGTACCTGATGATGAAAAAACCTTGTTGAAACATTGAACATTTGCTGTTATGTTAAACTTATATTAACATTTTTCTTCATTACCCATTCAAGCCATCTCCATCCATTATAAATGCTCCACATGTATTGACAGATGGCCAAAGAAGAAGGGCAATTGGAATGAGCTAAATGTGAAGCTACTCTGCAAGAGTAACTGGAACTCCTCATCAAGGACCTGACAAAAGCAAGGCATGAAGCTGGAGGATGGAGCACCAGTGATTGTGGTTGACAGAGCAGGTTGAATGGAAGGAAAGAGGTAAGTTGGAGTAACCGAGGGAACCAAGGTTAAGTGAACTAGTAAGGAGCAATCAGAAGAACCGTACATGGATGAGGGAGACCACCCAATGAAGTAAACAGATGGGAGGGTAAACAAAGGGACAGATAAGACCAATCCTGGCTGAAGGCATAGACAGCCAAGGATCGAGGAATGGGGAACCAGGGACCAAAACCGAGGTAATTTGTGATTGAGGGTGGTGTTAAAGGCATCAATATGGGGAATACCCAGATGCAGACAGAGCCACTGAAAAACAGCAGGATGCAAGGACCACTCCGTGGGATAAATGCAATCCGGTCAGGAAAAACGATCAGCTATGAGATTGAAAGCTCCCGTTACGTGACACACCAACAAACAAATTTGATGTGTGTGGGCCCAATAAAGAAGATCCATAGTATGAAAACACAGGGATCTGAACCTGGTACCACCTTGGTGACTGATCTAAGCCACCACAGTAGAATTGTCAGAATGGATGATAACCAGCCAGTGGCTGGCAAGAGAAAGAAAATGATCCAAAGCCCAACGAACAGCAAGGAGTTTGAGAACTCTCCTGCACAGACCAACAACCTAAAACCTCCTGGTGATCCACCCACGCACATCAGCACTGAAAGGATGCAACCGTGAAGAGATGTAAATCTTGCCATGGAGGAGGAAGCGAGACACCCACCGACATGTGGGCCCTGTTCCACCACCAATGGAGATCATCTACAAGGGCTGAGGAAAGGAATATAGAAATATCCAAGGGATCCTGGGCAAGGTTCCTTTGATTGTGAAGGACCCGTTGAAGAAACCGCATATGGACCCTGCCCAGGGGTATGAGAGAGGTCATAGAGGACCACATCCTCAAAAGTGATAGAACCTCACAAGCTATAAGTGAGGGAACAGAAAGAGCTTTCCAAACAGCCCATAGAATGCAGCCAGAGAGGAAAAGGTTGGGTCTGAGTGAGATGGGTTTTGAAGAAGACACCTAATTGGATAAGGTATTGGGTAGGACAAAGGAAAAACTTCTCCAGTTTGGATCAACTAGCCCACCTGCACAGCTTGGGCCAGAAGCTGACAAGTGTGGCAGGCCGATCCCTGTTCAGAATGAGCAAGAAGAAGCAAGTCATCTATATAAACATGGAAGCGCTATCCCACGGCATGAATATGCCGAGCAAAGGAGCAGGCCACAAAACACATATGGTGCTGAGACTAGGCTGAAAGGTATGGTGCGAAAGTGGTACACAACCCCCCAATGAACAGACTGAAGTTATGGCATGAACGCTCCACTACAGGAATGTGTAGGTAAGTACTGGAAACAATCACCTTGGACATCCAAACTCCTGGAGAAAATGCCCACAGAAGAGAAAAGTGTGTCTCAATGGTAAAGCAAAGAGTATGAACATACTGATTGAGATGGGATAAAATCAATGAAAGGATGCCAGTCCCCGGTCTTCTTGCGAACCACAAACAGGTGGAGCCGATTCAATAGCCTGTTTTGTGATGAAGTCCTGAACCACCTCTAACAGACGCTGGCATGTTAATGGATCCCAAGGTGAAGAAAATGTAATGGGAACACTGGATAATGGAGGAAGGGAGAGAAAGGAGATAATGTATCCCTCCAAGAGCACTCTGTGAACCCAGGCAACAGCGAGAAAAGGTCCCCACCAATGAACAAAATTCAAGAGACAAGCCTCCACTGGACCCGAACCGACCATGTAGTCATTGGTATTGTTGTTGGTGGATCGTGCATTGTTGATCAATGGCACAGTGGGAGGGTGGGACAGGAAGTTGTTGGGAAGGGGAAAGTCGGGGGACAGGAACTGGTGCCACAATCGGCCCCAACTGTGACAAATGAAATACCAAGTTAGTAAGGGTATAATGTTGATGGGGCCGAGGCCACTCACGACTCCAAACACTCAGGTACAAAGTCAAACACATAATTCCGTAAAAATGGATCCTGGAGACAGGTCTGCACCAAAACTGTGTCATGGCCCAAGTGGTCTCAACAACAAACAAACCATGTTCGAAGCACGAGAGCCAAAGACGACAGACAAGCCAATATAGAAGTAAGGATGGAGAGGATTTCAGCAGAAAACCCCTCAGGGT